AAGAAATGTGATTGCCTTTTTCTTTTTACTTCAGCTGATTATACTTGAACCTCTGCTTTCATTTCACACCACAAGTTTATAACAACCATGGCTGCAAAGAAGTACTTGCAAATATGAAATCTAATAGTTCAAAACGAGAAAGCAAATTTTAAACATCTGGTATTTATTAATTTTTTTTTTTAATTTCAGGATGTTACGGTGGTTTCATTTTTAGCTAGTTTTTGCAAGTAGTGAGCTGCGCGATCCTTCAGTATTGAACACTTGAGGCTGACTATATTGCAGTAGCAGGTGATATCATCACTGAATGAAAATGGGAAACTGGGTTTTATGTCAGTTAGTATTAGCTGCCTAGAAATTAAGCATCTAATCTAAATTAATCATTTTGGCTCTCTCTATCAGACAGACATAGAGAAAGAAAGGCATGTCCAGGGGGTAAACCTTCATAGCTGTCTTTGGTAAGTTTTTTAGGATGGAAAAAGTTGCCTGCCAAGCATGCCTGTGTCTCTCTTGAACGTTGAGGGACACCAGCCTGGTATTCAAAAATCTCACCTAACTTTAGGCACGCAAATAGTTAGTTTCCTAGTCCCAGCGCCTGGCACAGGGCTTTCCGCATTATCTGAAACCAAGAATAACACGTAGCCAGACTGCAAAAGCAAAACAGCAGAGGTGCTGGGTCCAAACAGGATGATCACAGCACAGAGATCATGCGTGGATCGGATCCACAACTTAGCAACATTACTGGTACAAAGCCGATCCTTCACCAGCTAAATGCTCCTGACGTTATAAAACGTGACAGGAAAGGGGCAAACTTAATGCAGAAGTTTCTCCTCGCCTTTCCCCTTGCAGGCAGCCACCCTAAGCACGGACCCACGAGCAGGCACGCCGCCACAGCCATTACCTTGCTTCTAGCTTGCTCTATAAACTCCAGAGGAGCTTTCCCGAACTGAAACGCAGCTCCAAACCAAGGGATCCAGCTCCTGATGCAAGGAGGGGAGCTCGGGTTTCTCAGCTGAAACAAAACCGCCTTGACAATAAGAAGTCCCAGGATTGCTGCCAAGAGGAGAGCAAGAGCCATTTTGCCTCTTCGCTGCCTGCCGCAGCAGCTGCTCCGCCTGCCGCAGCACCCGGCACGGCCGCGCTGGCCGGGATTACCCGAGTCAATGAATAAAGCCTCTTTTATCAGTCTTGCCAGCTGATCACTGCCATGGAGACAAGATGTCAAAGCACCAAGCAGCCCAGGGGCCAAGCCCTTGTTTTGGAAAAGGCAGAGCCAATTCTCCTCCACTCTGGGATGAGGACCAACTCCACTGCTTGCAAAACTTAGATGTTGCTGTGATAAAGCCTTGAACTTCACACCAGTTGCTGGAAGGCTACCCAAGCAGACAGGGACACAGGCAGGGACACTGTGGCAAAGCAGTGCGTCGCTTTCTTCAGTTAAAAAAGTTATTTTTTGACAATATCAAGATTACAAAGCGGAGAGGCTGTGATTGCAGACGTTTAGCTTTCAGCAAGGCTGATGGCAAGAACCTTCTGCAGGCATCACCTGAAGCAGTAAGCCTTATGAAAGGTATCTCTCACCTGCCTGAGATCATCTCATTAAAGGCTAGTTGTGTGTCCAGTGTACACGGAGCAGAGAAGGGCTTCGGAGTTGAACTGACAATTCAAAGCCTGCTGGTGGCCCCTACAATATCACCGCAGTGTCAGAAGACAAGATTTCCGAGAGGTCAGAATTGGTTTCTTTGCGTGTGTGGAAGTGGCACACCAAAATTACATACAGAATTCACTAATTATAAAAAAACCTGGGAAGTGCTCTCACAGCCTACCCCCGCACACCCTCAGCAAGTTTGAAGACCACACAAAACCAGGAGAAGTAGCTGATAGACCAGATGAGTGTGCTGCCGTTCAGAGGAAGCTCAACAGGCTGGAGAAATGGGCGAACAGGGACTTACCGTAGAATCATAGAATCCCGGGTTGGAAGGGACCTCAAGGATCATCTGGTCCAACCTTTCTTGGCAAAAAAAGTGACTTCATAAAGTTCAGCAAAGGGAAATGCCAAGTCCTGCCCCTGGTTAGGAACAACCCCATGTGGCTGGGGGCCACCTGGGTGGAAAGGAGCTTTCCAGATCTGGGTGTCCTGGTGGACACCATGTTGAACACGAGTCAGAAATGTGCCCTTGCACTCAACAGCACCCTGGGCTGCATCAGGAAGAGCGCTGCCAGCAGGACAAGGGAGGTCATCCTCCCCCCTCTGCTCAGTGCTGGAGACATATCCGGAGTGCTGGGTCCAGTTCTAAGCTCCCCAGTGCAAGAGAGACATGGACAGGCTGGAGTGAGCCCAGTGAAGTGCCAAGAAGTTCATAAAGGGGCTGGAGCATCTGTCATTTGAGGAGAGGCTGAGAGAGCTGGGACTGTTTGGCCTGGAGAAGAGAAGGCTCGGGGGGATCTTATCAGTGTGTATGAACACCTGAAGGCAGGGTGCAAAGAGGATGGAACCAGGCTCTTTTCAGTGCTGCCCAGAGAGAGGCAACGGGCACAAACAAATACAGAAAATTCCACGTAAACTTATTTTTTTTTATCGTGATGGTGGTCAGACACTGGAACAGGGTGCCCAGAGAGGCTGGGGAGTCCTGGGAGACATTCAAAACCCAGCTGGACACAGTCCTGAGAGCCTGCTCTAGGTGACACTGCTTTGAGCAGGGTGTTGGACTACCCAGTCTCCAGGTCCCTTCCAACCTCAACTGTTTTTTTTTTTGTGATTTTGTCTTCTTTTGCTCTGGCTCTTTGTCCAAATCTCTTCTTCTGCTCAGTCCCAGGACCCGATCCTCAGGCCCAGACTCCTCAGTTGAACAAGCCCTGCTCAGCCTTTCTAGCCCTTCATCTGTTTGTTTCATAGACAAACATCCAGCTGTACATCACATCTTACACCTCTCCCTTTACTCAAATACTACCTTCACACATGCATTTCCTTTTTAATCAGTCTCAGCCTTTCTGGCTCTGCCCCCAAAACCGTTTCCCCACGTCCTTCCTCCGAACCTACTTAGTTCTGTCTCATTCTCTTTGTATCTGTGCTCCCAAATCTCACCAGAATAAAACCACACTGGTGTCTGAGTAAGAGATAGACCTGGACTGTGCTTAAACCTGTCCTCATGTATATTATTATAATATTTCAATAGTTACTAACCCAGAGGCCTTATCCACTTACCAGCTTTATGTATTTTACTAGGAGAAGGATATAGTTCATTGCTACTATATGCTGTACCATGGGAACACCGCACCATTTACATAGTGCACGATTCGTACACCATTTTGTATGAACATGGTTATTCCATTAAAAGTGCTTTGTACAAATACAGTTTAACTCCTTTCGTATACATGAATAGGTGCACAGACAGGAACCTTTGTACCTGTGCAGACAGGCAGTACAGTCAAAGTAGCACAACAGAAATACACCTGATAGTAGGAGGTTAAGAGCTGTGAAAAACAGATCTGTGGCCTTCATTAAACAGTCATGCTGAAATACATTGGGATGTTACTACGTTGGTCATAGGTGCAGAAGAACAAGCCCAAATATGTCAACTATTACAAGTAGGATGTGGATCTCCATTTCACAAACTGTCCGGAAGAAACAGATAAATCACTTTTAACTCTGATATTACTACACTTCTATGTTTAGCTATCATAGCTCTTTGTATGTTTATTTCCTGGTTTTATTTTACTCATTAAATTCTTTCTTTTCCTACAAAGGGGTAAAGTGATAAGAGAGCTAAAGGCCTTGTAATATTGGAGTATATTTTCATTATACGCACAGCCTGAGTGATGAGTTTAAAGTGATCTATGTATACAGGTAAGAGAAGCCGTCAACCCTCTGTGAAGGCATTCATTAAAGGCTTCTGTGTTTGTTTTGGACTTTTTTTTTTTGTTCAGCTTCTGCTTCTGGGGCACGATTTGGTGAAGGACACAAGATGCTACTGAAAGGCACTACTGTGAGGAGGATGCAACCAGTACGATGGTGCGATAGTCACTAACAAGCTTTCCTCAGACTAGGTCCTAGTCCTGGGCAGATAATAGTTAATGGTCTTCCCAATGTCAGGTAACACAGTCACCACTGATGGAAGCAGGGGAGAGGGCCAGGGCAGTTTGGCTGCCTTTCTCCGGCAGCACACAGCCCTCCCAGACCCTGCTGCTGTGTTTCCATCGCATCTGAAGTCCACGCTCCCTCCCTGCATATGCAGCCTTTGATCAAACTGTCATCGGCTTTGGGCAGAAACCAGAAAATTCTGTCTCTGAAATAAATAAATAGGAAGGGTCCTCTCTGCTGGAGCTGTCTCCCTCAGGATTTGGGGATATATAAACTACAGCTGTTTGATGGACCTCCGTGAGCACTGGCCCTTCGCTGCTCCACGAATCACAGAGCTGTCCACGCAAGCGTCCATCTCTAGGTCAGGCTCATTTCAAAGATCCTGTGGGAAGAGAAAATTCTTCCTCACCACCATCCCCAAATCAGTCTGGTTTAAAAAAGAACTTATTTCCCCAGACTAAAAACGACCATGGAGAGCTGCTCTCTCCATAGGATGCCGCAGTGTTACGGGGTTTATTTTAAGGAGGGATCGAGCTGTTGTTTTCCACCCCCTAAAGCATGGTTATAGAGAAGACAGAGTAAGACTGTCCCCAGAGGTGTACCTCTACGGGATGAGAAGCAACGGACATAAGATGCAGCGTGGGAAATTCTGACTGAATGTAAGGTAAAAATGTTCACAAAGTGGTTAAGCACCAGGGCAGGCTGTGGTTGTGAAATCCCCATCCTCTGAGCTGTTCAGAAGGTGACCAAACAAGACCCTGGGCAACCTGCTGTAACTCTGAAGCTATCCCTGCTCTGAGCAGAGGATTCTACAAGATGACCTCTAGAGGTCCTCTCCAACCTAAATTACAAATCGATGATATACAGGCTGATATATAGTGGCACAAGCTGACCCAAGCCCAGAGAATAGCTATGGAGGGACGCACAAAAGTGCCAACAGCAGATTGCATAAACTGTCTAGAATAAGGCTCCGAACCACTCGTACCCTCAGTGCAGCCAGGCATGTTTGCATTAAATTGCAATATGCCTTCTTCCCATTTTAATCAGGGTTTTGTCAGTAGTTTATCATTGCATCAATTCTAATGAATTCTAACTCAAAGACGGATCCAATTTAATACTGATTACTGGTGACCGACGACATGAATTAATCTGATTTTAGCTGAATATTTCACCTGCAATGCTCCCTTCATTTGTCTGAATCGTTGTGACCGGGACCGCGCACCAAAATGTTAGGCAGTCAGACAGGGGTGTGGGGAGGTGTTCTGGGATAAGTTTCTGTGACCTAAAAAATCCTCAAATCCTCAGCATGAGGATTAGTGATTAACGGCTAATGATTAACTTAGTGATTCAGCTGAGCCTTAATGATAAATAAAAAGCTTCTCTTGAACAGCACATGCCTTACCCTTTTTTTTTTCATGATGAGAACCTAAATACACCTACATTAATTTAAGAGAAATTAGGACTGGCACACAATTAACAGGGCTTCAGCATTCAGCCAGGAAAAGCTTTAAACTGTCTCCCCAGGTTTGCGTGCCCCTTGCTCAAACTGCACCGCTCTGTGCCTAATCCCCAGGAGACGTGAATTGCTACAAGCGTTCCAGCACTCCAGCTCGGCATGTAGCTGTTGCTAATGCAGCTTTTGTTAAACCAGGTCTGGATCAACTCATCCATCTCGGATGCCTGTGCAGCTGTTTGACACGGGGACGCAGTCTGGGGCTCCCGAGGCACAGCTGGCAATGACAGCACCCCATAAAGCCAACAGACCCCACATGTGTTCCCATAATCTTGAGGTCTCATTAATGATGCATTTTTTTCATGTAGATAATGGACAAAATTGTGCGACTGTACCTGCACTGCCGGTTTCCTGGCAGAGGGTAGCGTTGGTGACAGACTACATTTCCCAGGAGCCTGTTGCGCAGGAGTCTCGTGTGTCACTGCACAAGGACCCTGCAGCTCTGCAGGAGGCACTTGGGCTGCTGCGGTTCCTGATGCTGGCG